AAAAAAAAAAAAAAAACACAGAAACAAAAACAAACCAAAGAAAAACAAATTGTTTGTTTTAAACATGCTATATTGATAAATATTTCAGCCAAACAAAGGAGTGAGTTACAAACTTTGGGTACCCAAATATTTAGTAAGCACATCATTGCCTGTTTCCAAAAACCTGGATGATTAAAATAAGTTTTCACTTTCTCTCTAGCTCTTGTGATAATATAGATCCTTTACCCTAGAAAATAAAAGCCTAACCTCTTAATAGGACTTAATATTAATCATATACAAAATGTCATACCTGAAACACTTAAGAATAATCATATACTTATGCATGCAATGTGATGTAATTTAGAGGAATAAAAATATATTTAGAAATTATCAAGCAAAAAAACTGCTATAGTAGCATGAATTTAGGGGAGTTTATTTCTAAACATAGATAAGAAATAAAGATGCTTTCTTCTTGAACCATATTGTGAGACTGTTTCTAATAACAATTACTCTCTTCCAGATGAATTTGCACTTGCAGAATACACCACACCGTGCGGTCAGATGTCTTTTGAAACCTCCTCATTCTAGGATAAGAAAAATAAGATGGAAAGCTAGAACACTCTGGAACTGGGTTATATATTAAGTAAATACGTCCACTGTTTCAACCAAAGAAAAGCACCTAGAAGAGCCTTTATGATGCAGCAGATACTCAAGTTCTCCTACTGACAGCGTCCTCCCTCAGGTGCATCAACACGGACATCATTCTTTCTCTCCCAGGAGCTTGCCTGGAGTCCTGGTAGCCATTTGACTNCTTTTGAAACCTCCTCATTCTCGGATAAGAAAAATAAGATGGAAAGCTAGAACACTCTGGAACTGGGTTATATATTAAGTAAATACATCCACTGTTTCAACCAAAGAAAAGCACCTAGAAGAGCCTTTATGATGCAGCAGATACTCGAGTTCTCCCACTGACAGCATCCTCCCTCAGGTGCATTAACACGGACATCATTCTTTCTCTCCCAGGAGCTTGCCTGGAGTCCTGGTAGCCATTTGACTTGTGTGAATCTTCAGCTGGGAAGTACAGACTTAGTTCGAGGGGCAGATGTCAACCAGTGATGACCAGAGACAGTGGACACATGCTCCTGCCTCCTGCCTTTAGTCACAAAAGTCTGGGAGGCATTCCGGATGCTTCTGATGAAGTTCCCTTGAAAGCGAATTCCCATATTCTCATGCAGCAGCCTCAGTAACAAATCCTTAAATTAACTTTTTTCCCCTCTTGACCTCCTTGATCTCTTTCTCTCTTCCTGGGATCACCCCTGAAATGAATAATCTGCACCCACGCTCTTGCCTCAAAATCTGCTTTCAGGGCAACCCGAGCAAAGACAACATACCGTATCAATCCCTAAATAACTACAGAAAATATTTTGTTAGGTATGAAATATTCTAACATGTTGATAATTTAGTCCTGGTATATGTTTTTAAATAATTTATCAGAAACTGTAGAAGAATAGGTGTGACATGGTGAAAATATACGTTTGATTTCTTCTCATGGTGTACAACTCCTAAAATTCATAGAATCACCGAAGTGATGTGTGTTTTTATATGCTAATGAGTTGGCTGAGGAATGGCAGCCCCTAGGTAGCTTGAATATGGGGGCTGATCACCAAGGCGGAAGTAGAGGATTTGGGACTTTCAGTTCCATTTCTCAACATCTGAGGAAGGGATGGAGGAAATGAAGGTTGAATTGATCATCAATGACCAATGACTTAATTAATCGTGTTTAAGTAATGAGGCCACCATAACAACCCAAGAGGCCTGGATTCAGCGAGCTTACAGATAGCTGAACATGTGGAGGCTCCCAGGGCAGGCGCACCAAGCCAGAGCATGGAAGCTTCGTGCCCCTTCTCCCATCCCTCGCCCTCTGCATCTCTTCATCTGCCCTTAAATTAGCTTTTTTCCCCTCTTGACCTCCTTGATCTCTCTCTCTCTTCCTGGGATCACCCCTGAAATGAATAATCTGCACCCACGCTCTTGCCTCAAAATCTGCTTTCAGGGCAACCCGAGCAAAGACAACATACCGTATCAATCCCTAAATAACTACAGAAAATATTTTGTTAGGTATGAAATATTCTAACATGTTGATAATTTAGTCCTGGTATATGTTTTTAAATAATTTATCAGAAACTGTAGAAGAATAGGTGTGACATTGTGAAAATATACGTTTGATCTCTTCTCATGGTGTACAACTCCTAAAATCCATAGAATCACCGAAGTGATGTGTGTTTTTATATGCTAATGAGTTGGCTGAGGAATGGCAGCCCCTAGGTAGCTTGAATATGGGGGCTGGTCACCAAGGCGGAAGTAGAGGATTTGGGACTTCCAGTTCCATTTCTCAACATCTGGGGAAGGGATGGAGGAAATGAAGGTTGAATTGATCATCAATGACCAATGACTTAATTAATCGTGTTTAAGTAATGAGGCCACCATAACAACCCAAGAGGCCTGGATTCAGAGGGCTTACAGATAGCTGAACGTGTGGAGGCTCCCGGGGGAGGCGCACCAGGCCAGAGCATGGAAGCTTCGTGCCCCTTCTCCCATCCCTCGCCCTCTGCATCTCTTCATCTGTATCCTTTGTAATATCCTTTATGATAAATGGGCAAGCATAAGAGTTTTCCTGAGTTCTGTGAGCTGCTCAACAGATGAATCAAACCCAAGGAAGGGGTTGGGGAAACCCCTATTTATAGCCAGTTGATCAGAGTAGGTAAAACAACCTGGGGGGCCGGGAGTCTTGGGGACTGAGCCCTCAGCCTGTGGGATCGGAGGTTATCTCCAAGTGAATAGCATCAGAATTGACTTGGAGGACACCCAGCTTGTGTCTGCTATAGAATTGATTGCTTGCTAGTGGAGAGAAATACCCACACATTTGGTCACAGAAGTCAGTCTTCGAGGCTATCTCCAAGTGAATAGCATCAGAATTGACTTGGAGGACACCCAGCTTGTGTCTGCTGTAGAATTGATTGCTTGCTAGTGGAGAGAAATACCCACACATTTGGTCACAGAAGTCAGTCTTCTGTGTTGATTGTTTCTGAGTAAGAGTATAAGAAAACACACTTTGTGTTTTTTACTCTTGGAGTAGGACTTTGACAATATTTAAGGGTAAACATGTTTATTTTATTTGGCAACCATTGTTGAGTAAAACATGACAAGAATCTATGCATTTTAATTTGCATTTCAGAATTGAGTTTACTTTCTCAGGACAAGCCCAGCATGACACAAACATTCCTCCTTTCCCTTCCCTCCCCACACACAGGATCACTTGGGGGATCATTTCTGAAAATGTCTTTAAAATTTTCTTGGATATAAAATATCTTTAAAAGTCTTGGATACTTGATTTTATTATAAGATCAAATATCCATTATCATTTATTAAGAATGTGTATAATTTACCAAACTATTTTTAAACACGTGCCCAAAGTATTTACTTACATGTAACTACAGTCACGTGTGGTTTAATGATAAAGATACATTCTGAAAAATTCTTCTTTAGGTGATTTTGTCATTGTGTGAACATCACAGTGTGTACTTACACAAACCTAGATGGTGTAGCCCACTGTACACCTAGGCTATATGGTATAGCCTAGCCTAGGCAACAAATT